CATTCCATTATAAAACAAACAATCCATAAAAAGGGAATATATAGGATCTGTCCTTAGATTATAACAAGGCAATAATTCATATAGTAATCCTTTGTGATTCTGTCCTGATTTTGTTCAATGATCATAATTGCTGCTCGCAGCTTGTTGACTGAAATAAGTGGTCAAATCTCGTACATGCGCAAACGCCCCAGTTACAAACCACGTTTTCGCTCTCCCTCGTTTCCACAAAATGACTTCCTGATATACTTCCTGTTGAGTTGTTACAGCCATTCATAACACTCGCAGAACCTAAAAAATTAGAGACATAGAGAAACTCTTTTCAATATTATTTCAACGCAGACGAGAAGCTGAGCTTTTGCATCATTTGCACTGAAAAAATGTACCCGAATTATAGCCAAAAATATTTGTGTAGAAAACAGCGACATTTTTCATTATTTTCAAACCGTTGCAAAAGTAGATAAAATTTAGCCAAACCCTTATGATTCCTAAAAGATTATTTTTCTCAAACTTATGATTCAAAGCTCACTTAAAAACTGAAATTATCAAGATCAAAAACTCAAGAAAGGCGCAATTTATTGCTTTCTTCCGAACGAAACAAGAATGCAAACACAAAAAAAAACTTGAAAAAGCTTCCAAAAATTGTTAATAAAAAAGAAAAAAATTTCTTAAATTTTATGAAAAAATCAGCTCCTTGTAACTCATTTCAAACTTGCTGTGGCGCAATTACTAATAGATAACTCGAATACATTAAATGAATTTTCAGTGATAGAAAAAAATGCTTGTATGGTCAAAAACCGCGCTGTGGCAATTAAGCCGATATAAAATAAGCAGACATGAACCCGAAAACGTTTTTTTTTGTCACGAGGAAAAATTCCCTGGATAAACGCATCATTTAGCGTATGTAGGCTCCTGGAATCAAGAAGCAGTCTTCAAACATGTTCTCAATAGAAAAAAGGAACCCGCTCTCCAAATTGTTGCAATATTCCATGCATAAACACCTTTTAGCGTAAAACTTGTCGACCCATTTATTGTGTTGTGAAATCCTCAAAGAGCGAATACAACAAGTTATGCAGATTTCACATTTATAAGTGGTTTCCGCAATATTTGGCGGATTCCAAAACTAAGTAAGTGGTTTCCGCAAATGCAAGCAGATTTCGCAATTTCTTAAGCGGATTCCACAAATTGTGAAGGGAATCCGCAATTTGGATTATTACATATATATTATGATTTTCTTATAGATTCCTCGAACTATTCGGGATTCCGCAAATTTTGTTTCGGATTCCACAAACTGAGCTGCTTTTGGAGCGACAGTCTTTTAGCCATTCGTATGTGGATTCCACAATAACTAGTCGTTAACCTGCAAAAAACCTACATTCCGATTTCATAACGCTTGCTAGTCGCAAGCGTAAATATTGTATCCCCAAAATACGGCCTAGAGCATGGATGTGTCACCGTAATCGACTTCTGAATTTTCTTTAAATTTTTCTTTGACTTCTGGGGTAATTCAAATCGAGGAGTAAACAGCAGCCTTAACACATTAGAAACCTTATCGAAGAAACGAATTTACCTACACATCCATTTGGATTTTGAAACACGGCGGAAATCAGTTGAATATGGCGAACTTTGAGGTACCCAAATTCCACTCAATACGAATCAAACTCACTAATCTTTCGCTTCAAAGGCAACCATTTTACTACCACCCCATTGAGGCGTATCAACTCATATTTTCCAATAGAAACATGCTTTCAAACATGCTTAACTAGCAAACTAGTTTAATGTGATAACAGAAGCCAAAATCCAGTATAACAGCCTATAGCCAGCGGAAAAAGTGTTATTTCAAAAAAGAGGAAGCAGAAAAATTGACTTAATTTTTTCAAACTTCGATTTTCAAAGCAAACATTTTTTCAACTTAAAGATTTATGAATTTCAAGAAAAATTGTATGGTTCTTTTTTGAGATAACTTCGAGTAAATCTTCCGCCGAGAAAAAAAATCGAAACTAGGATACGAGCTTTCCTTGGGGTAAAGATCGCGAAAAATATGGCACCCTACAACTTAGCTCTTTCCATACTACGGGGAAGTCAGAACAAAAAATGGAAATTTACTTTGTGTATCGATCAAAACCAAAAAGGAATGGCATGGAAGTAAAAATTAGCAAGAAAAAAGTAAATTGAAGTTTAAACTAGTGATCCATATTTCATTAATGATACGAAAAATCTTTTTCTAAATGATTTTTGGCAATAAAATCAAATGCAACAATTGAGCCGACAAATTTGTCGATCAAGTTTTTTTGCGCCATTTCAACTTTCATAATTGGAGAGTTCATTTTGTCTTTCTTCTAGCAAAAAAAACTTGAATTGAAATTACAAAATGAACATGTACCTAAAGGCATTCTTCTGTGCATTTTAAGAATTTGTGCATCATCATGGTTTTTATAAAAATCGGAACTACATTAATCGACTCTTAAAAATAGCATTGCAAGTTAGCAGACAGGTAAGAAAGAGATAACAATAAAAACATTGAAATAATTTCGAAAAAATAACATGTTAAACTTCAAAATTTTCTGGAATGACGATCTAATTGCGGAAAACTCGTAAAGAAACACAATCGACAGCGTTAAATGAACATCCAAAAACATTTATCGAGCGGCAAATGAGCCGACGACAATTCGTTTCCCTTGAAATGACCCAAAATTAGGCCACTAAAGGGATAAATATTAACCGAAATCATTTGGACAGAATACACTTTTTAAGCGAAACGAAAAACAAAAAAGAATATATAGGAAGTCAAGGCTAGTAAAATTACAAAGAGCAAACTGAATCAAAACACAAAAATCAACCTGCAATATAAACTGCGTACAGCAAAAACTGTTCTATGATGTGGCAACTAAGTCGACAGAATATCAGCAAACAAATATTACACCGACAATTTTTTCACAGGCGAAGCTGTGCTTCGCAAACACTTGCGAGAACGCGACCAAAAAGCAGCTCTTTCAAGTGACATAAGAAAAAGTAGAAGTAAGTCTCGAACTTGCAAAACTCGAGGCTTAGCAAAAACTCCAATTAGCAAAAATCTGCGATCTAGCAAATTTGAGTCTCACGCACTAACCATTCAGCCACGGATGCTTAAAATCCCCAAAAACTAGCCACCAATAACGCAGATACATATGCTAATAAATTGCCAACTCGATGCAGCAAAAGTAGCACCAGACACAAAAAAATACAATTTTGCATGTAATAAATCGCAAATCATAAAGCCACATTATGTGTAAATTATGCATTTCAAAACATCGCGGGATATATTGAGTTAGAAAATTTCTGAAATCGAGATTTTATTATTGTTATGTTGTGACAATATTTGCGACTTAGGTTAGAAAAAAAAAGAAAGTTCGAACTATAACTCTTTGGTTCGCAAGTGTAAAAAGGAATTTTCCCGTTTGAAAAAAAAGTCCTGAAAAAAAAATTGAAGAATAATTAAGTTTTTCCAGAAATTTTTGGATTTTTCGCAAAAACAATTAGCCAGATATTTCAAATCAATTTTATTGATATCATTTTCAACCTATTGTGGCGTTGCGCTATTCCGACAATTTTGTCTAACTACGATATCATCATGAAAAATCTGCTCACAAACACTTAGCTTTTAAGATTCCTCGGAAAACTTATGAATCAATTGTTATTTAATCATTTTACTCATGGTTTCTGGCTCAGTAACTGCCACAGAGCTTGGTCCCGGGTCACATGCTACACTCGGAGAAAGTATTTCTTCTGGTTTTTCACCTGCACAGTCAACCACCGCATATTCGCCTCCAAAGGCGCCACTTTCTCCTATCTTGGGAACGATGTTGTTTTTGTTTATAACTGGAAACACAATTGGATTTAGTATCTTAGGCGAATCACTGCTGCTTCTCTTCATTTGATACATTTCGGAAACTCGTTGAACGCTGTTGACAGGAAATTGACACACCGAACCTGTGGGTTTCCAATGAACTTCGGGTTGCATTTGAACTCTTGATTGATTTTTCAGCACACCTAGATAACAGTTAGATGGAGGCGCAGGACATGTATCCATGCAGCTATATGTCTTGGTTTCAGTCATTGGATAGTTCATTTCAAAGTGTCGGTTAGGTTCAGACAAAAACACCCCTTGTCTTCGTGGGGGCGTGGGGAGCTGCGTTACTTGAGAATTGGCTTGGAACTCCTCAAGCAGAGGGGGATTTCTAGTTTGGTAAAAACTTCTTGCCGCACTTTCAGCGGGTAAAAAGTTGAGCACGTTTGGTACACCCATTGGAATAAGCGGATGCTGCCTAAAACCCACATTAGAGCCTTGGTTTAACTGATTTGAGTCGAGACAACATGGAACTCTCTGAATTGGCTGCTTTATTTTCCTCCCATTGCTTTCATCTTTGTTTTCAGGGTAGTTTCGCTTCATAGGACGCACTGAATGCATATATTCGTTTCCTTCTGTATTCCTTCCACTTATCTGTCTTGACGTTAAATCCCTCGTTTGAGCCTGATTCTGATATCTGATCATTTGCTCCGATGTCCCTGCTGCTTGTACTTGAGAATTTTTATCGATGAGCGTTATCGCAAACGTCCCCAATATTTTCGAAGAATACTTGTCAACTAGATAAAATTCGGTAGAGTTATAGTGATCTAAAGCCTCCAATACATTTCTATCGACATTGACTGCAAAACGATATTGTTGCTCGGACATTTTACCGCTTTTTCTCGGCCCTTTTTAAATTCTGAACTCTAACTATTCAAATTATTGACTTTTAAAGTTTTCACGCCAAAATTGAGATCGCCTGTCTATCAAATAACTGTTCAAACGCCAAAATTTTTGAGGCAAATCTTTTCAAATGTACGGAAAAATTGTATCTAAACTTTGACTTCTTTCTTGACTTCCAAAATCAGGATCTTTCTGAGTACTTAATTTAGCGATGAACTGAATTCCTTTCTTTTCAGTACTCGAACTCGATATAAGATAATACTTAGAAAAAAACTTCCCAATGATGCATTTAAATTGAAAACAAAATGCAGAGCGTTGAGGCTCAAATAATAGAAATTAACGAGTTTCAGGTCATCAATTTAAACAAATGAGCCGCGAATTGGGGATGGATGAAGCACCCTTTCTCGCATTGCAGTGTTGGGTACGGGCGGGCACCTTCGGAGCTTCTAGCCGTTGTAGGGCTGCGTGATCTGGTAGACTTTGATGTTGTTGTCGGTGTATCCGGCAAACAGGGTGGAGCCATCGCTGCTCCACGCTAGACAGGTGACGTCCGGAGCTCGTCCACCGACAGACTCTGGCTTCAGATCTTCAATCTGCATTTTGCTCTCCAAATCCTTGAAGACAAAAATACTTTTATTAAAAAAAAACATTTTGCTACCAATCAGAGTTGCAATCATATCACATTCATTTGAGCATCATATAATAGTTTTTTTCTAGTTGTGAAGAGACTGGGAATCTGAATCTCGGAGAGTTCCAATTCTTGTATGATCTGTCACTATTTTGCGTCTAAAATTCGAGCACGTTTTTCAATTTTCAATTAAGAGGTCGCTTAAGACTTGAAACAGGTAATGATGCACTTACCCAGATCTTGATGGATGGTCCACATGCTGCACAGAGCCAGTAACGGTTGGGACTGAATACCAGGGAGTGGATGGGCTCAGTGTTTGGGAAGGTGTACAGATGTCTACCCTCATTCAGGTCCCACAACATTCCCTGCCCGTCTCTGCCTCCCGAAGCACAGAGTGATCCATCGGGTGAGACAGTTACTGAAACAAATTACAGTAAGGATTTTAAATTAAAGTTTGTGATCGCACAAGCAAAAAGAACCCGAAAAGTCACCAGTAAAAAAGCTCTTATTTATACGAGGGCTACTGTTGAACTTCTTTTTAAAGTATCTCAAACATTATCCTACGATAACAAGTTACTTCAACAAGACAACTGATTTTCTAAACTTCGAATAACGTATTCAGGTGGTACCTGTGTTGAGGTACTGTCGGTGTCCGTAGTGGTTTGTCTTCAGCTTGCAGTTGGACAGACTCCACACCTTCACCACTTTGTCCCATCCGGCTGACACGATCAGAGGGGTGCCGGTGTTAGGGGAGAATCGCACACAGGAGACCCAGTCGGTGTGGTTGTCGTCCTGCAAATCACAGCCGACAAATCGATAGCTATCTTTTGATACCATGAACATTGCAACGGACGAAAACTAACAGAATATAATGCAAATCATAAAGGTGGCAAAACTTGATATAGTTTGATTGAACATGTGACTCTAATCGACATTAGGTAGATTCTAAAACTTTATCGTACTCTGCTGAATTTGTTCATTAAAGTATGTTATAATTTTGATCTATCAAAAGCATTGTCAAAAAATTCTGTATCCGAGGCTGAATTAACCATACAAACGGCACGATTATTTATTAGCTGAGAGTTTTTGAGGCTTGTTACCTGGATGGTGTACTTGCACTGCGCCAGAGTGTTCCACAGCTTGATGGATCCGTCCATACTTCCACTCACAATCTGCCTATTGTCCATAGAGAATGCCACACTCATCACATTGCCAGTATGCTCCTGGAAGCGCCTAGTGGTCTTGCCACTGAAACACGGATATCATACAAATAGTTCATAGGCTCATACTTAGTATTGAGTAACGGCCAGCAAATAAAAACATTCAAAAACCGTAATAAATTTATTGTTATACTACGCCTCCAGTGAATTGAAAGCAAGGAAGGCTATTCATCTGCAAAAATACTGAACATTAAAACCTTTGTTACCACGAATAAACAAACGCATTTGGGTTCTATCATTACTAGCTTATCAAGTTTAAGACAAGATTTGCAGTGGGCATGCCATTTTATTTCCTTTTACAAACTATTCCGAACAGCTCGGAAAGATGTCAACGAAAATCTCACAAATCAGAGGACTCGCAACAACTGTCACGCCCCTTCTGTAGTCTATATGGTATCATTTAAATTTGTACAGCTGCTTACATGTTGAGGTCCCACAGTCGCAACATCTTGTCCCAGGAGGAGGTGAGTGCGAACTGTCCGTCGGAGGAGATGGCCACGTCCGAGATGAAGTTGTTGTGGCCCGTCAGTCTCTTCTGGGGCTTGCCATAACACCCACTCGGGTCCTCTTTGTTCAGCTGCCAGATGATCATCGACTTGTCTAAACATTCAAACCACTTTCACACTAAATAGATGCTGCGGTGCTACAGCCGGTTAATGCCTCTTTTTATTGCTACTAAACTTAACGTGACAGTGACAACTGCGACAGTGACACAAGGAGTGATTCGGCTCGCAAAATTCGATCCTTTATTCAAGGTCTTGTCAACGAAAGCTTTAATCATTACATATTATTTCAACTGTTTGAAAAGCGATTCCTATTTTTTGAAAAATTTCGATTAACTCATTTATCTGTAGGTGAGAAAAAAACAGATTCATTAATAAATTCTGTTTACACTTAGCGGAATTTAATTCACAATGCAGATGTGAACTTAATATGAGTGAACTTCGCTTACCCCTGGATGAGGAGAAGAGGGTGTCAGGGAAGGAGGCGTTCGTGAAGATCTGGGTGACCCAGTTGGTGTGGCCTTTCAGGTAGCCCTTGAGGGTGAGCTGCTCGTTATTGTAACTAGTCATCCTACTGTTGCTGTTCTAGTTCACTACAATCGCTAGAATAGGTGTCAATTACCACAATTCTGAAAATGAATCGAATAAATTTGTCACAAGAATCTAGAAAACAGCTACTCTCATCAATTATTTATTTTAAAAAGATGGTTAAAGCCTATTTAACTGTTAAATTTACACACTTGTCAATTTTTACACATCAATTAACATAAATACAATATTTACACACATAAATTTTGATCTGAATCTAAAATGAACCAATTTGAAATCATTTGACAAGCAGAATTGCATACATAAACCTTACAGCATTGCAAAATGCTTATTTAATTGTTGGAGCAAATGTTGCGAATCATTGTGCTGAGGAAAACTGGCAACTGCTTTCTTCGCACAGTCGAAGCTGCTTTGCAATTGACCAACTTGGTCGCTCAAAGCTGCGTAGTTGTACTGACTTTCATAAAGGTCACCATTCAAGGTCATAGCCGCTTGTAAAAAGGCCTTCGCTAATGGGTAGTTACCCCTTTTCAGCTCCAAAACCCCTAAATTGTTATACGCTTCAGCGTGATCAGAGTTAGCTGATAGACACAACTTGAGACACTCGCAAGCCAAATCAGTGTCGTAAATTGAAATGGCCACATGTGCTATGTTGTACCAGATATCCGACAACACCGTATCTTCGTCGGCCAATGAGATTGCCTTCTCGAAACAACCGAGCGTCATATCCCATTGCTGTGCATAGAAACAACATAGCCCTAAATTGTTGAACATTTCTGAGTTTCCAACTCCTAATTGTAACAGCCTTCTGAAGTATCTAAGAGCTATTTCCGGCTGATCAGTGTAGAAATGATGAGTTGCTATGCTTGCTATGGACTCAACATGCACACTGTCAATAGTCAAGATCTTCCGATACACTTCCTGACTTTCTTCTGTATTATTCAACAATTCGTGGATTCTCGCGATGTTTGTCAGAAGGAAAACCTCCTCGGGAAACAGAGAAATCCCCTTTTTCAACACTTCAATAGCAGTTAGGGGCTGGTCTAATTTACAGTACACTTTGCTAAGATAGAGATAAATGTCAATCATCGGTTGTAGTTTTTCAGCTGACTTCCATTGTTTCTCTGATTCCCTATAGAGCCCCATTCTGAAGTAGCATTTACCCAACTGAACTTTCCACCACCAATCGTTAAACTTCGTAGCTTGCGTTGCTACCGCTGCCAATTCTGTCGCATTCTTAACGTCATTTTCCTGGTAATAGATGTACTGAAACAGAATCTTCGCCAGCCTCGGATCGGCTCCATATTTGTTAAAATTCAGCCTGGCAACATTTATGAAAGGCCCGTCTGGAGACGAAATCATGGAAGCGGTTCCCAATCTCACGTAACGTCCCGAGGAGTTCGAAATAGGTCGTGCCGATCTAGCAGTCCTAGCTGTTTTAAGAACTTGTTCCATTGTTCCAGGACGTCCAGATTCAGATCCCGGCCGAACAAATCCGGATACTGGTCGTCCAGATTGGGTTGTGGGTCGAATCGCTTTGCTTATACTTGTGCTTGCATTGGTTGCATTAAACGAAGTTCCAGGTCTAGAGACTTTAGACATCGAGTGCTCGTCTAATAACACTTCAGCTATTCCGTTTTCATCTACTTCTGATTCGTCGACATATACCATTTGTGATAGCAAGAGTGCCTTCAGAGACCAAGCGGAGAGATCTTGAGGGTTCTTTTCGAGAATCTCATCGCATATCACTCGACACTTCTCGTACTCCTTCAATCTGTACTTCGCTAAAGCCATAAACATTCGATCTGACATTTCCTTTTCGATCTGAAAAAAATTATTAACCTAGAAGCCGAACGATGAAGATTTTTTAGCTGCTTTTGAACAAAATAGGAGCTTGAAATTTAGATTTAAATTGATAAGTATGAGAAAGAATCGAAGGGAACATACATAAAGGTAAACACAGAAAATATTTGAAAGCAATATTAAATCTTCGATTAAATGAATTTATAGCAGCTTACACTGAAATTTTAGGAAACACTTTTGACTGGTATCAATAAACAACAGCAATCACAGAAAAAATCTCGAACAAACGCAGGGTCGATTTATTTGAAATTTGGAACAGAAATAATCATTTGAAAGCTATAGAAAATGTCACATACAGCAACTTACGTCATTTAAGCACATTTCTTCGCAGTCTAAGGTACGGTTGAATGGTTAATCAGGCTGATTTAGTGCTTTCCTTCTGCGACAGAGTATTCGCTTCGAAAAACATCGAAGGTATGTCCGCTCCATAGTAAATCTTCGAGTTAGCTCCTATAGCTTCGTACTTCTTCAATTCCAAGTACTGGGGAGTCAGTTTCAAGTTGTTCGCCTCGGATTCTTGCTTAGCTTTATATAAAAGAGCATCCGCTTTCGCCAACTCACTCGCCAAATAGGCTTTATCCTGAATTTCGGCTATTTTGCGCTCACTTTCTTGTTGCATTATCTTTTGGTCCCACTGGATTTCATTCACTTGTGCATTCTTTTCTGCTTCTATTACGGCCTTTTTCCGCTCTGTTTCTGCTTCCTTCTCTACAACTTTCTGCTTCTCAACTGATATGAGAAGCTTTGTCTTCTCAGCTTCCATTGCTTCAAAATTCTTTCTGATAGTTTCTGGAATTTTAGGCTTTGTCACCCTGACAGCTTGGATGAAAAGGCCAGGAGCCATTTGGTAAATATCAGCCTGTAATGCAGTTTTTAGATTTTCATCAATTTGATCAAAAAGCTCTATGTAAACTTCCCTCAGTGAATGGACACTGCAGAATTGGTTGACCTCGTGGTGCACCTTGTTGAAGATTAAAGTTTTATCGTAATCAGCGGAGAAGTTTCGAACAATGTCATATACGGCAGCGCGGTTCAGAATGTTAACAACCTCAATTCTGTCAAAATAGATCATAACACCACCCGCTGTTCCACATGGAACATTTTTCACTTCATCAGTTTGCAAAGTAGTCTGAACAGATCGATATGTTGTTATGAATGGAATCATCACGTGGTATCCTGGGCCGGCAGTAGAATGCAGAAGAGCTCCTCCACGGTAGTACACAGCCACATGTCCTTCCTCCACCTTATGAATCGATATGGCCATCATGACAGCCATGAGGCCGATGATCCACGCAACCGCTACAGCGGCATTCATGACTCTAGAATAAATGAAACTGAGCAATTTTTCAAATCAACTGAGGGATTTTAAAATCTATTAAAAAACTAGTTACTGCATTCCAACGTTCAGTATTAACTAGACATTGATGCACTTTCATATGGATATACTTCTGAAAAAAAAACAAGCAATCCAGTGCAGAATTTTCTTCATTATAAATGATAATCGCAAGTCAATAAATTATAAGCAAGAAAAACATTTGATTGAAAAATTTTCTATCAGTAAATATGACTTTGTGATTTTGAGTCAAAATACCTTTATGAACAAAGGAAGCTCAACACAGAGGCGAAACTGCGCTTCACATCACTTTACGTATAATCAGAAGGTCGAAAGAATCATAGAACTTTCTAGACAAGTAAAAATTTTTTAAAATTGTTAATTCAAACGTTTTCGCACATTTTGTGCATCGTCAGGATATAAAAATTTTTATTTACAATAAAATGATCAAAGATCATGTATGAAATTCAAAAAGAACATGTTAGAAATTTTTAACCAATCACATTCTTACATCTGTTATTACGTTATCATTATTTCATCGATTTTGACAATTTCCATACTTTTTTGTTAGTTGAGTCATAATTTTTCGATTTGATGTTTTATCCAAACTGACATGTCCGTTTATTTTTTCAAAAATTGCAATTTTTAGTCATGTTTAAACATGTACTATAATTTTAATGTCAGCTCCCTGCCCCTGAACTCCTCGCGCGTGTTAATTCTGGGGCGTTCTTTCCAAATATGTAAGGCCTCCAGAGTGAGGAGTTTCTGTATGTTACTTGATTGATCTATAATCTCAGACTTAAGCTCAGCGCTCTTACCATCCCTGTCACATTCTCTCAAATGTTGCCCTACTGGCGAATCTTCCTTGTGATGCTCATCAATCCGCGTGGTCAAATGCCGGACCGTTTGTCCAACATAGGTGGAATTACATCCACTACATGTGAGCTTGTAGACCACTCTGGATTTCAAATCTTTCGCAAAGGGAGATTTAAGGGACGGTAGGCAAGTCTTGAGCTTTCTCGTATTAAATATCACTTGGGCTCCGGCGTTTTGATGCAGTTTGGCAGCAAACCACTCCGATGCATTACCCCGGTATTGTAATGTTATAATGGGTGCACTGACCTTTAAAGGATCTTCCTTGACTGATGTTACCGTTGTTCGTGTGTCAGTTTTTCGGTCGATGATCTTATTCAACGTTCTTAATACGACACCATCTGACCATTTTTCAGGGTATTGATTATCCACCCATTGTTATTTTTTAATCTTCATTGCCTTGTCAAAGTTTTCCCATGTTGATGTACTTCTAAAAATCAGATGAACAGTACCTTCAACTACATTGCGTTTATATTGCAATGGAGCGCAGCTTCTGAAGCTAAGGATAGTCCCAGTATCCGTTGGTTTTTGATACCATCCACATGTTACCTTTTTTCGTGAGTCCACATTAATGTTCAAATCTAGAAAGGCTAAGTCTCCGTTCGAATCCGGATTTTCGATAGTGAATTGTAAGTTGGGGTGGAGCTCATTAGCTGCTTTTAACACTATATCTGGTTCCCCCTTTACCGTTCTCACTATATCATCTACATATCTTAGGAACGCTTTGACCTTTTCTGTTGGTTTTTCTTGATCTCGCTGCTCTTTACATCTCTTACAATACCAAACCATTTCTGAGATTTGCTCATATTCTTTGTCGGATACATTACTACACTTTAAATGGTACCAATTTAAACAAGCTTCGCATTCGATCCCCTTACTTCTGTATGTTACCCTCCGCTCGCAATCAGGGCATAGGCCATTCCGGTTTTCATTTAGCTGTGTAAACGCAGGTACTTCCTTCATTAATGCATATTCGTACTCCTTTAGCCATAAATTGGCAAGAATGACAGCAAGGGATGCACCCATTGCCAACCCATCCTTTTGTACGTACCATAAACCATTGCATTTGAAGTGCACCTTACTTACAGCCATGTTCAACAATTTCTTCATAGTTCCGCGTGCCAGTTTAGGAGGACTAGTTTGTTCGTACAGTTTCCTCAGTGCTATATCTATTGCCTCCTTTAGTGGGACATTAGTGTACAAACTTTTGACATCCAGGGAGATAATACTCTCATTATAGTCTAGATCTATGTTCTCTATGATCTCCCGAGCCATTTGTGTGTTTGTTTCAATGTTTGCCCCCTCAATGTTGTCAAAAAATTTGGCCAAAGTTTTATTTAGATGTTCATATGAGCTCCCTGGCAGTGATAGTACGGGACGGAGAGGGGTTCCTTTCTTATGTACTTTAGCCAATCCATATAATCGAGCTGGCTGCCCTCCCGTGGACCTAAGCCTACTATACAGTGCCTCATCGATCTCATCTTTCTTTTTCATGGCCAACAGTTCTTTGTTGATGTCTTTCTCAATTTTCATAACAACACTATCAGTTAAACCTGGTTTTTCGCTAAATTGTTCCGATTGCAGCAGCTCAGTTAGTTTAGCCTCATATGTCGTTTTCTTCATTACACAGAAGCCAACACCTTTATCGAATGGGACTGCCAAGAGACCATTGTCCTTCAAATACTTCCTGGCTTTCTCAATCCCTCTATCCGACGGTGTTTGCCGCACACGTTTAGCGTATGATTTTGCAGCAGCTTCAATTTCACATAATTTTTCACCTGGTACCTTTTGCGATTTAAGCTCAGATAAAAAATTATCAATGTCCGCAAGAAAGTGAAGTTCATTGAAACGATCCCTCACCGGGTGCTTTGGGCCAAAACCTAACACTTCATGAACCCACTTGGGTAGCTCAATGCCATCTAGTGCTCTGACCGATTTGTCATTCATTTTCATTAACGGTCTATCCTGCCGCTCTGCTAGCTTTTTTAACTTCTTTTCATGTCTATCCTTGATGTCATGGATAGCAATTCTAGCCTGGAGCTTTAGATAAAATGCTATTGAGGGCCACCATTGTTCATCTATCCCTCTCCGCACTACCTCTCTTGCCTTAGCTAGATCATCGTCTATCTTCTTCTCTTCTGACCTTGCCTGATTTATCTCTGTTCTTAGGAGTTTTAATTGAAAGCTATGCACCGCTTGGTCCAAAAAAATCCCATTTTCTGGCACCCGAAATCTCAAAAAATCTGGTATTATGTCATTGCTTTGACATTTCCGTAAAAACTTCAATCGATGGAAATTGTTGTTTAATTTATTTGAATACTTCAGGTAATTCAAAACTAATTTCCAAGTTTGTTTTTTCCTGAGTATCCATCTCAGCATCGGTGGGGGCAAAACTACGGCGGTCATTATCCTGCAGGCCACGAACACTTAAACTCATGCGGCTCTCAGCAGGATAATTCACACAGTAGATTCACTTACCCAATCCGCGCCCTTTCAGCCGATGGTAGAGAGACGTCAGTCGTTGTTTCCTCTCTGCGTGCCTTCGCCTTGCGTCGTCCTTGTGATGGTTTCTGAGTCCGCTCTCTTATCTTTGAGAATATCCCGGGCAAGTTCTCTCTATGTGTCAGCACAACTCGCAATGACTTCAACTCAAGTTCGCTCGATTGATGAACTTCCAGGTATTGTCTCACCAAAGCGGGATCCTGCCTCTTGCCTCTCGAGATCAATTCCGTTGTTGGGACTATCAAGATCCCTGTACGCATCAGAGAATCAAAGATATCTGTCGTTCTGGTTCTTCTGCAATATATAATCGCCTTAAACCGATGTCGCTTTGATTGCAAATACGTAATTAAATCGTCCAGAGGATAAAGCGTGTTGGCATTGGTTCGGTGTTTCGACAAACTGTTATTCAATACGTCGTGCCAAAGAATTATCTCCTTGTCCACCAGAGGATGCTCTTCCAGAAGAGTCTGTAAATTTTGTCTCTTCCTCACGGTATGAGGATTCAGCGATAATCCCGATTCAGCGTATACCAGTTCGTCCAGTTCCGCTTTCTCTGCTGGTCGTAAGGTATTCAAGCTATGAAATAGAGAGCTTGCAGCTACAACCCATGCCATTTTAACTCAAATGTAAGAAAACTCATTGTTAAGATGAGAAAATGAGAAAAGAAAAAATAAAAATTGAGACTATTCTGAGAAAAATACAAATGATCTAAAAATTTTTTGTTTGTATTTTTACAACAAACTTTTTAATCTATCATTCACTGTTCGCCGAGGTTTTTTTTTTCAAAATTTAACAAAAATTAGAATAAGAATTTTTTAAAATTATTAATTCAAACGTTTTCGCACATTTTGTGCATCGTCAGGATATAAAATTTTTTATTTACAATAAAATGATCAAAGATCATGTATGAAATTCAAAAAGAACATGTTAGAAACTTTTAACCAATCACATTCTTACATCTGTTATTACGTAATCATTATTTCATCGATTATGACAATTTCCATACTTTTTTGTTACTTGAGTCATAATTTTTCGATTTGATGTTTTATCCAAACTGACATGTCCGTTTATTTTTTCAAAAATTGCAATTTTTAGTCATGTTTAAACATGTACTATAATTTTAATTTCCTAGACAAGGAAATAATTATGATAAAAAGGAGATGATTAATATTGATGTTTAAAATGGGCCCTTCCGTCATGCGACGGTACGTGCACAGGTTGGATAGGGCCATACCAACGCTACATAAATACATCGACAAAATTTTATGAATAAAGCAAGTCTATTTTAATGCATCAAGAAAATTGCCAATTAAAATCTACCCACCCCGATTACAGCACAGATAGAATTGTCTATGTTGGATGTATTTTTAAGTTTTTTGCAACCCCTAAAGCAGAGGATTGCACTCCTCAGAAAAGCAGAACTTATTTTGGTTCTTATATAGTTAATTGTGTCCGAGTATGATTCGTTCCGTTTTTCGCTTAGTTTCTCTGTTTCTGGACAGTTTTTGTAGAGCCTGGTGCTGCTCCTCCGGTACACACAAAAAATAGTGTACCAAAGCTGCTGTGCTCCACATCCAGAATTCTTTGTTGGTATTTCAATGTTTTGACTTTCTC